AAAGGACAGATTGACTTCTTTTCTTATGTTGAATGTTTTAGAAGCAAAGATCTTTCAATACGATTTTCTAGAAGGACATAATGTGTGACAAAATAGCCTGTATTGATCGTCAACACAGAGAAGTGTAGTCGCCATTATGGCGACAAACCAGAATTTGTGGTCGCCAAGGATGAAATGTCGGTTGCATTGGCAACCGTGTCACTCGCAATTTCAAGTCCTGGGGTGGCTTTTAAAATACTATGCCTGTGTTAAGTCCGAAGTCTTGTAAAAGGGAAGGGCCAAATTGGCCCTTCTTTCGTTTTTCTGGGGGCCATCTCTGATTACAGCACAGGATTCCCGCAATGGCGCACTCTGGCGGAAACACTGTTCTCATGATAAGTGATTAGCTGATTTTATTTTTCATGAAATGTGAATTACGAAATTATTCTTCATGATCCGTGAGAACTTGAATTACTAACTGATATTTGTGATTTCACCACTCTAATGTATGTGCTTTTGAGATGCGGGTCCTCTGAATGGTTAGAGTCGTCTATCCAGAGTGACAAGTTTAGGTATGCAATTTGCAATATGGAGTCTTGACCTGGCTTTTCACAGTTTGTCTTTCTTCAAACACTCTTTCTAGCATAAGAGTAGAGCTTATGAATAGAGCGTAAGCTCTCTAGTGTAAGTGTAAGAGTTAATCGTAGAGTAGTAGTAGCGTAAGTATCTTACTTGCTTATTTTCTTAATGTGGGAAAACAAAATTTTTATATCCGTGATCTGCGACCCTCTACTTTTTTTGTTCGCCCAGAGACCCCCCCCNTTGAGCTACCAAATAATTATTGTCCTTAGACTTCAAAACATCAAAATCCCATTTTATGAACATGTTTAGCACTTGACAATGTGTTAACTTTGTCACATTATGAGGCCCAACACAGAGCACACAAGACCAGCTGCAGTTAGAGATTAATTTGTTTTGTCAGCTAATGTAGCAGGGGTTTCATTAAGGGCCTGCAGCAAATTGACTGGCTAAAATATGATTTTGCCCACCAGTTGTTTGACCGTCTAGGGGAAAGTTTTTCTTATAAAGAAATTTGATTCAACATTGCTGCCTGTAAAAGCCAATTGCCCCCCTACTGAAAACATTTACTTGGTGAAACCCCTGACGCAGACAGTTCAGGCAGGATCGGGGCTAAGGTCAATTTTTAACATGTGTGAAAATGTTGGCAAGTTCAATATGCCATTTCCGAGTTGGCTTTTGCCTCTGTGTCAAAACAAGCCTTTGTGCAAAACCATTCATATGAAAATGGGTTCTGCCTAGAGGTTCATTTTCATGTACAGACGGCTCATGAACACCTGGCCAGGGTGCACCCAAGCAGACATAAATGAGAATATGCCAAGCAACTGTTAGAGTTTGCGTCATGTGAACAAAGATTTGTTTAACCACTTGTGCAGTTCTTGGTGCAATTCTGAAACATGAAGGGAGGGAACAGGGAAAGTCATGTCCAAGGTGTTGATCCAAATACCAAGGCACAGCATATGATGGCTGGGTGGTACACCTTTTTGGGGGGATGCCATGAGGCCAAGGTCATCAAAAAGCAAGTTACACTGGAAGGCCTGCTGAGAACAGACAGGAGACTCTGCACCATAGAAGTCGTTGATGTAAACATAGACCGAAATTCCCTCGTTGGTCAGGATGTGCACAATGCTTTTAATGGTTTGCTGACACATCAAAGTTGCAGAAAGTAGGCCAAATGGTAGTGAAGTGTGGAAAAACAGAGAGCCATTGATGCACATACCCAGCAATGGATAATCTGCCAGATCAACAGGAATTTGTCTGTCAGGTTATCAATGTCTTCAGGGAAAAGAAATTTCCAGGAAGTTTTGGATTTCGCAGTGGATTGCCTGGTGGATAGTGGCATGATAAAGGGACGTGGTGGAAAAGATTGCAAAGAGACAAGCACACAAAATGCTAAAAAGATCAATGAGAGGCCGCAACTCATTTTCACATGAGACGTTTTGCACAAGGACTCGTTTTCGAAAATGACCAATTTTTCTCCTTTGAAATTCAAAAACATTTACCTGACAGGTCGCAGCACTGCAGCTAACATTGCAACAAAATGATGAACAAGAGGATTGTCCCAGTAATATGGCTCATCTACCACATTGTAACCATGAGTTTTGAAAAGTGGTACAGGAAACTGAATGAAGTGTGCAATTTTACAGGTAAACCCTGGTGGACACCTCAGCATGTGATTTAACAGGAATACAAGATCTGTTAAAGAAGCTACACGTAACAGAACAGCAACCTGTTAAAAAAGAAAAAAAACACTACATGTTACATAGACTTAAGACTTACACTGACTCAAAGGTGGCATACACTGTATGTTACATATAGAACTTTGTATATTAATTTTAGTTAAAAAGGCAATGAAATGGATTCAAATAAATTATAGTGAACAATTTTTTAGCTTTAATCACCATTTACATGACTTGTAGTCCTGACACAAATTGTAAGTTTGTACTATCTTAAAGAAATAATTAATAAAATGTCACTAAAGAAGCAATACATACCAATTGTTCCATCCAGCCATTTAGAATAATTACAAACTCTTCGTCTTGAATGGGTTGTCGCACAAACATGAACAACACACTGATACAGTCTCTTAACTTCTGAATCTCAGCTTGCACCTCTTGGCTTAATACCACTGGGCACAGCTCTGGCACAACAACAACAACAACAACAACATGATTCAATTTAAGCATGTGACATACTGGCAGGAGCAGTTATTGTATCAGAAATAAAAGATTCTTTACCCTTCAGTTATTGTACAGTATCTTTATTATGGCCAAAAGTATAAATCTTTATGGAAACCACCAGATCTAACTTGATGTTGCAGTAAGAACATTTTTAACATGACCTTGAAATAAATATTGCTACTCACAATACATACATACATTATGTTTATTTGCCTTTTTACCTAATACAGTAATTATTTATAAATCAGCATGCCCTGCTTAATAATATGTTGGCTATACCACACAAATGAATCAAATTACTCCTGCCATTTCAGTTCACTTGCTGCCATATGAAAATCACTCTTGACTACTAGATGACAGTGCCAGGTAAATTTCTAAATTACCACAACAGGTTTATTAGATAATTTCATCAGACCTGATTGCTATTATTTACATGTGTCAACCGAAGGACATCCTCAAGATTCACAGAGTTCTCTCTCACCTGTAACCAGATTCTCAGTAGCAGCACTGCATAAAATGGATGACTTCTGTAGCATATCATAGATGTACATGTCAATATGGAGGCGAGCAAGCTGACATGTGTACCTTTGTAGAGCTAGAGTCTGTTATAAAAGGATAATACAACATGTAAGGGAAAATTTGTGACTTTAAAATCTAATTTGTCTGAATAATGTTTCAAGATTTAAAGACAAAAAAAAATGTACTGAACAGAAAAGTTACAAAATCAAAAAAGCTTGGTTATTATTTTCCATTTTTGTCAGTCCTTCTGTAATGTCATATACAATCTGGTTTTTATTGTCACTGACAGAGTTAAAATATATGTACTAAGTCCAAGTAAGTAATACAAAATAATTACATTTAGCAATGATACCTATAGGTGGTTTAAAAACTTCGTCTAAAAATTTACAGTGTACCTCATGTAGAACTTTGTGGAGTTTTTCCAACATGCCCTCAATCTCCCCAGGTCCTCCAGGGTTTAACTCGACTTGCTGGTAGGAGTGGTTATGTGTCACAGTGACCTGGTCAAGACATTTTCCCTACAAGGAAATACAATCATCGTTAAAAATTTTAATGTAGGAACTCACTGATAAACGCTGCAGCTAATCTTCAATATGAAAGGCCCGATGGAAAAAGGGCATTAGGTATTTTTGGTCAAAAGTGAACTTTGTCCAAAACACTCCAAACTTTGCATGCAGTTTTGTTTAGGTGGGTTAAACAATCTCTTAACCCTTTTGACCAAAAATACCTAATGCCCTTTTTCCACCAGGCCTTTCATATGATTAAACATGTTGTTCTTAAAGAGGTTATGACTGACCATTTCTTCCCAAAAGCAACATACATGTAGAAGGTAAAGTCTGCATATGTGCCAGGTTGACCCATCATGCCAGTGCTTATAGTCTCCAATTTCTATTTAGCATGATGTGATTAGAAGTATTTCTACCCCCTTCCAGGATGAGATGCTAGTCCATCACAGGATTATCCCCCAGAATTAAATTTGCTGGTACCTGAGTTTGTCTTGCCCAAGAACTCGAAACAAGTCAAAGTATGGAGGTAGTATCAAGTGGTAAATGTTGCTGGAGGGGGCTTGATATGGGGTCCTCGCAGGAGTAGGGTAGGGTAAAGGACCGAGAGAGCTAGCGTTGAATTAGGGACTAAGGAGGAGCAAGGTGGTGTGTATGTTATTCCTTTTAAAAATCCCCCAAAAAGTGAAATAAAAAATAACAAACTGGTTTGAAAAATTTAAAGCACAGAATTAAATTGAATTCCAATTGCTGTCGTCTATCCTGTTGTACAGCTAAATGAAGAGCTCAAAAGAGTGGGATTCAATGTATTTGCTTACCAAACAGGGCTCAAGAAAAGTGCCCTTGGGTCATCCAAGACAAGTAGGTTCTCTTCCTTGAAAATTAACTTTTCATTCTCACTTGCCCAATCAGCAAGGGATTAGGCAAGCCGTCTGCCAACTAAATCATTAAAAGAGCAAACAAAGAATTGCCCAGGGCAAGCAAAATTTGAAAGCTACTTGTCCCAAGGGCAAGCTGGAATTCAAGTTTTTTTTGAGCCCTGTAAAAGAATTACAAGTAGAACTTCTTGAGCAATAGTTATATAATATTAATATTAATAAACGTGTACATGTATATACCTGAGCTGCTACTGAAAAATCTTTAGTTATCCAGAGTTGCTCTTTCTTCTTCTCACACTCAGCAACAACTATCTGTAATAATAACAATAATGATAATGATAATGATAATAATAAGCAAGCGAATATTAACATTAAAAGCCAACGTTTTGGCGTCATCGTGACACCATTCTCAAGGCAAAGTGAATAAATAATGCGAAGATTTGATTTATAAATTATACAGTTTCTATGAATTAGCATAATAACAAAGGATCACAAGTCCTTCAAGTGAATACCTTTGCACAAATCGAGTCTGTTTGCATGTTTAGGGATGGTTTAAGTTTTCGTATAAAAAGCATCTCCTTAATTAGACAATCAAATTTGTTAGAACATTTGGTGAGCATGTGAAATTGTTCTGAAAGACAAGGAAGTACATTTGAGTTATGTTCGCTCAAATAATGTTTACAAATTGATGACGATTTTTGTTTGTGTCCATCAATGCATTCATGGAGGTGGCCGCGAGTGTAACCAACATATCCTGCATCACACAGGTTACACTGAAATTTATAAACTAGGCAATGTTCGTTAACAGTGGCTGGCAAAATTTGAAGCATAATATGAAGAAACTATTCAAATTTCAGAAATAATTTAAGCACAGTGGCACAAATAGTGTAAATGTAAGAGGTACTGTACAGATGTACAGTGTAGCAGGTAAGGAAATAATATGAGGATTGCCTGAGTTAGGTGGAGTAAAGTTTACTGTGCTTTTCCATCCTCAATTTCAATTTGCATATCAATTGTCTGCCACCATGTTGTTAAGTGACTGGCCACCCTTGCTGCTATGGGCCATGTAGTGCATGAGTCAACAGTTGTGGGGAGAGTGATTTCTTTGACAGTGCTGAGCCAATGACAAGCCAGTTTAAATCTGTTAGTCCAGAATCTGGACTAGAAAGCTGATTGGCTCCTAACGACCTCCCAAGGGTTTTCTAATCTAACAGACACAGTGATATGTGGCTAAATATCATTTAGGCAAGGTCAAACTCGAGCTAATGCAGCCAGCTAGCATGCCCATCCAGCTAATATCATTTAGGCAAGTTAAACATGAGCTTATGTAGCCAGCAGTTTCCCCGTTTGGGAGTACGTGACCTGTGGGGTGGCCTTAAGGGGTTTTGCAGGGGTTTATGGTTCATTGCATAATTGTTGTAGTGTATTCAGCTGATTGTTGCGGATCAGTTGCACTGCTTTGCTCGTGAATCATTGTNNAAGGGGTTTTGCAGGGGTTTATGGTTCATTGCATAATTGTTGTAGTGTATTCAGCTGATTGTTGCGGATCAGTTGCACTGCTTTGCTCGTGAATCATTGTGGATTCTTGCACCCTCTCCTCCCTCCCGTTTCGTTCTTGGTCAGGGTAAGTATTCTCCAGGTAAGTAGTTTCCACTGAATTTCTTTCAGTGTGACGGTGCCGGTTAGCAAACGCTCATTGGGTGATTCCTGCTTTCCAGGGTTGCCATGGATACCTCCTAGCGGCTTATGGCTTTGGCACCCCACTAACCTTTAAGGCACCAGTTCCCAAGCTCACCTATTTGTGATGAGTTTAATGGTTTCTAAGAATAGGGAACGTGAGCCTGTGAAGAAAACTTATTATTCTTAGCGATTTTTACTTTTTATTACTTTCTTAAATGCACACTTTTAATTATTAAGAGTAGTACAGCTCATTTTGGTGAATTGTACAGTGCCTAGAGCAGGCATAGATAGGCGCTATATAAATATTTATTTATTTATTTATTTATTTATTATTAAATGTTGCTTGGTGGCATAATGATCGTGGATGTCGGATTTTGAGGGTGATGTTTGTTCGTGCGCTGTAAGATTTGTGAAAGATCAAGATCTGGTCAAAGCCATAACAAAAATTCCTCAAAACGTTCGACGGTGATGACAACTTTGAAAACACCGAGCAAAGGGATAGAATTGCAAATTTTAGTCACAGTAAGAATGTTTTGACTGTTTTGCCAATGGGATTCTAAAATCGTGGTTAGTTCAGTTAATTCCTGAACTCTGTGTTGAACTGCACAATGCTCCAGACACCCAGCATACCAGGTGAGCTGGAACAGTGTTTTGAACAGGTATTTTCACCGTTTGCAGCTTCTCCTTTCCAACAGACAGAATTCTTTTTGTAATATTCTCAGTTAAACTTTGCGACTTCTTTGCCAGTCGCTTCAAATTCTGCGATCCGTCAGTAGCACGTCTTACAAAGAATACGCGGCCCGACGGACAGTTTGTCATCCTCGGTAGTGAAGAGTGTCGAGATTCTTTCACAGATTTTCAGTTCTTCAGCATTTTCAGATACAAGGCTGTAATATCCATCAAATACACACAACATTAGCATCAAATAAACAGCACGACAACGAAGACTTCGAATTAGGAACCTTTTTCATGGGATTATAACATAGTTTTTATTCCCGCAGAAGCCATGTAATTCAAATCAGACCAGATCTGTCATATCACGCAAATGTGTTATGTCTTCACATGCCAGTCCATGTGATCACAGTGGGAGATGTTCGCTGTGATTGGTTTAAATGTAATCCAATAAAATTGATCAAAGTTCAACGAGAACGGTGAATGAAACCACTCTTAGCCTGCAAACAGGTTCCCGGCAAGGACGGAAAAAAATTTCGGTGAGCGCGAAACAGAAGAATTCGGAGAGCAAAGCAATCGGAGCGGGGACAGGGGAACCTGT